TGTTGATTACCGAAGAAAACTATACAAAAGCCTTGGATATTTTGTCAAAGAGGTATGAGAATAAAAGTATTGTAGTTAAGTATCATCTAAAGGCCATACTTAGCTTTAATATAATTTCGAAATTTAACCTTAAAGAATTTTTGGTAACATTACAACAGAGTTTAGACTCACTGAGATCTATAAATTTGCCTGTAGATAGCTTTTTTTTTATGTTATAGGGGGCATACGAGCAGACGGCTCACCTGATGGTAAGTGATTACCGTCGCCCATGGACACTTGCAACACCAGGAGTATCACAAATGCGATGCCGGCCTTTAAGGAAGGAGTACGCTCTTTTTTTGAAGGTTTTTGGGTCGTATCGGTCCGGAAACACTGCTGGCGACAACATATTCCACAGTTTTGTCGTACGTGGTATAAAATTTCGACAAAAACGCACGGTTGTGGATAGCCACGCATCAAGATGATGGGGATGAAATTTTTGTCGCGATGTACGATGGCGAAATGCAGCAGCTGGAATTAATCCGAACAATTCCTCAGAACACTCCCCGTGATAAATGCGATAGAAGATGCAGAGCGAAGCTACATCCCTACGCAAAGCCAAAGGATGAAGCTGATCGGAAAGGTCCTGGTCGTCGACGATTCGAGCCGCTCGGCGCTGGATGCGATCCAAAGGGAGAAGCTGGGATGCTCTTCTTGCTTATTTAATCAGTCAAAAATTAGACAACTCTTTACGTGCTGCATGGGAGATAAATCGAAAAAAAAATACTATAGCATCTATTAAAGAATTGTTAGAATTTCTAAACTTAAGGCGAACAGCTTTTGAATTAATAAATGATAGCAAGCAAATTGATAAATTTAATGTAAAAACTTCTCATGTAACATCAGCACAACCTAACATATCCTGTATGCTATGTCAAAATAAGCATATGTTGCACAAGTGTCCTCAATACTTGGAATTATCTGTTTCTAATCGTATACAGCTTATTAAAGCTAAATCATTGTGTTTTAACTGTTTACAGCCCTATGAAGCTAAGCATAAATGCTCTAAATATAAATGTTTAAAGTGCCATGGCAGACACCACACAACTATACATATGGATAAACACCAACCCCAGGTTAGTCCTATGCTACAAGATAAACCTCAAGGAGTACACTCCGCATTGCCTGCTTGTACTACATTAGAGCAGCCTCAAGTCCCCTTGCATAATAATGCTGCATTGCAAACGCTTACATCTCAACTAGACTGCACACAGTCCTCTTTCGATACATCTCATAATCATCCTTCTACTGTGCTAGTATCCAGCAATAATAATAAACAAATCTTGCTTTCTACAGCTATAATACGCATACAAGATTCATCAGGTAGGTGGGTGAATGCTCGTGCTCTGCTGGATGCTGGGAGTGAAGTGAACATTGTTACCCACAGACTCGCTACTCTGCTGCAGCTTAAGCTAACTAACTCTGCTTGTGTCATACAAGGTATTGGCAACAGCCAAAAACCAATACATGTGAGTGCAAATGCTATTATTTCATCTCGCTACAACAATTACTCTACTAATATCTCATTGATTATTATGGATAACATAACTGTACCACTACCACATACATATATACATTCTCATGCTTGGCCTATCCCTTACAAACAAGCACAAACACTTGCTGACCCTACTTTTTATATCCCAAGCACAATTGATCGTCTCATCGGTGCTAAACTATTTTATTCTATTATACATACAGAACGTGTGAAGCTTGGCCCAGAACTGCCATTTCTTATTGACACTGCCTTTGGGTGGGTCATATCTGGTCCAGTTACCATTGACCACTGTCCAGTTACACTGTTGAATACACACATTAGCATGTTTGTTACTTCTAATTCAACAGATAAAATATTACAAGCCTTCTGGGATCAGGAGGAGCCTATTTCTAAGGTAAAAATGATTTCACCCACAGACAAATATTGTGAAGATCTTTTCAAATCTACTACTACTCAAAATAAGTTTGGACAATATATAGTTAACTTGTCTATTCAGTTAAACAGAATCAAAGAGTTAGGTAATTCATTCAATTTTGCCTATAAATGTTTATTACAACTTGAATCTAGAATGAAAAAAGATCCTGAATTGCAAAGTCAATATAAGGCATTTATACATGAATTTTTGAATCTTGGTCATGCTCACTACATACAAAATTTCTCACCTACAGAACAAAATACATACTACATGCCACACTTTGCAGTCTTAAAACCTGATAGTGTTACAACTAAGTTACGCACTGTTTTCAATGCTAGTGCAAAAACATCCTCAGGAGTATCACTTAATGATATATTATATGAAGGTCCAAACATATATAATGACTTATTTGAAATTATTATCAGATTTAGATTGTATAAATATGCATTTTCATGTGATATAGTTAAAATGTTTAGAGGTATTTTCATGAATTCTCAACAAACTAAACTCCAAAGAATATTATGGAGAGATTCTCCTACAGAGAAACTTCAGTGTATCGAATTAGACACAGTCACATACGGCACCAAGTGTGCACCATATTTAGCATGTCGCACAATATCACATTTGGCTGATAAATATGCAAACACACATAGTTTAGCCGCCAAATGTATAATAAATAATTCTTACATGGACGATTACTTGTGTGGAGAAATGTCAAAGGAAAAGCTTTTTCAATTGTGTTCAGAACTTATTGATTTATTGAGTAAAGCAGGATTAAAATTGCATAAATAGACATCTAATTATCCAGATCTATATACTTATATATCAAACTTAGATTCATCATTCAAACATATGGCCTTACAACTTTTCCCTATCAAACTCTGTGAAAACCCTAGGTATGAAATGGTTACCCACTGAAGACACACTTCAAATCTTTATAACAACCCTTGCTAGTGTGCCTTGCACAAAAAGAAATATTTTATCTCAGATAGCTCAAATTTTTGACCCGTTGGGAGTCTTAGCACCTGTGACTATATTAGCTAAAATTCTAATGCAAGATATTTGGAAACAAAATACTGATTGGGACTCTATTGTTTCACAAGAGATACAAAATACTTGGCAGAATTTGGTTAATCAATTACATTATTTAAGAAATTTTAAAATACCTAGATATTATTTTTCAGACCATACAAACAATATAATTTTAATAGGTTTCTGTGATGCTTCAATTAAAGCATATGGTGCTTGTTTATATCTTAGGGCTACTTACCCTAACAAGAAAACTACTTATAACTTGGTTACAGCAAAGTCTAGAGTATCACCTATTAAAAAACAACAATCAATCCCTAGGTTAGAATTAAGTGGGTCACTTCTTTTGGCTCAACTTACAAGTAGATTTATTGACTCTACAAAAGATATTACAGTTCTTAATCAAATACATCTTTTTACAGACTCATCTATTGTACTCAACTGGATAAAATCACCGTACAAGTATAAACTTGATACTTATGCTACACACCGCCTCACACAAATTGTAGACACTACCAAAAGCAGTGATTGGTATTACATCAACACAAAACAAAATCCAGCTGACTTAATTACCCGTGGAGTCATGCCTATTGCCTTGCAATCATCCACCTTATGGTGTCAGGGACCATCATGGTTGTGTCAAGATATCACCTCATGGCCCATACAAACTCCACAGTCTATTGAGGTCATTCAAAATGCTCAGAGTCAATTAAAAGAAACCATACCTAAACATAGTAGTATGTTTATTGCTTCTAAAACATCTTATATAAATTACAATTTCTTTTATGAATACTTTTCTAAAAATTCAAATTTCACAAAATTAATCAGGTCTATTGCCTATTTATTTAGATTCAAAAATAAGCTCTATTCAAAAATAGAGCTTAAAAAAGCCCATGACTTTATAATAAAAATATGTCAGTATAATTCATTTTCGAAGGAAATTCATGAAATACAGTCCACTCATTCAATTCTTCTCAAGTTACAATAAACAGACTCATTCAACCACACTCATACTCAACAGACAAGCACATTCAAATCAAAGTTATACACATTTACATCCAGCCCACTAAGGAAATTGAATCCCTTCTTAGATGGATTTAATCTTCTAAGAGTAGGAGGTCGTATACAAAACTCAGATATACCATACAACCAAGCGCACCCTATTATACTACCTGCTAAAGACCACATAACATCTAATATAGTACGACACTATCATATCAAATTATTACATGCAGGCATTCAAAGTACCCTGTACAACATAAGACTAAAATATTGGCCTATCAACGGTAGAAATGAGGTGAAAAAATGTATTCACTCATGTATTAGGTGCATCAGTTCGCTCTCGCGCTACGCTGTGTTCACTTGTGTCCTTGTTATACCTAATATTATCTATGCCTACCCGCGTATTAAAAATAATAATATAAAATGGTGCAGAAATGCGTATCCTGTGCGAAAAATATCACTAAAAAAATTCCTGGTCTCGTGTGCAGTAGATGTGACAAATCAGTTCATGCTACATCATCCTGCTCAAATCTCAGTAACAAACAACTGAATACTCTTCGCAGTACCGTGGGACTGAAGTGGAGTTGTGAGGAATGCGTCACCAACACATCGCGTAGATCGTCTTATATGATACCATTGGATGATGATTCTGATGAAGATGAGCAGCCTACAAACCTTCCGTCAGATCACTATAAAAAATTAATTGAAGATATAAGTACCCAAATGCAGAAAATACTGTTTTGAGTATTTTCTGCATTTGGGTACTTATATCTTCAATTAATTTGAGTATTTTCTGCATTTGGGTACTTATATCTTCAATTAATTTTTTATAGTGATCTGACGGAAGGTTTGTAGGCTGCTCATCTTCATCAGAATCATCATCCAATGGTATCATATAAGACGATCTACGCGATGTGTTGGTGATGCATTCCTCACAACTCCACTTCAGTCCCACGGTACTGCGACTGTATCAAAACTTCATTAGAGTTCTTGGGACATCAAGTGGAGACAATTGAAGAATCCATAAATAAACAAGATATAAGAATAAAGAACTTGGAAAACAAAAACAACGATCAGCAAAATCGAAATAAACATGTTGAGCTACAAGTTACGGCAATCGAACAAGAAATACGTGAAATGGAGCAGCGTGCACTCTCTTGCTCATTGGAAATTTCTGGTGTTACTTCAGATATAAAATCTAACAAGATAGCCATAGCCCAAGAGATAGCAAAGAAACTCCAACCTCATAGTGTGTGCTCAGCGGCTACCGGCTCGTAAAGATAAACCAGCCAATATCATGGTGGAGATGAGATCTAAAGATGTTCGCGACCAATGGATTGGAGGCAGGCAGGAAGGCGGAACTTACCCTAAGTATCTTTGGAGAAGATGTACCAAAAGAGAAAACAGAAATGAAGATCTTCGTCCGCGAAGCCCTTACATCTTACATGAAGACACTATATTACAACGCCAGGAATACTCATAAGGATTCATATAAATATATATGGTGTAAAAATGGACTTATCTTTTGCCGCAAAACGGAAGACAGTAAAGTGGTTACCATTCGATCTACACAGGATATAAACAGACTTACTAAGTAGATAAGTAATATGTTGAGATTTCTTTATTTTTCCCCTTGAACACTTAATTAACCAATATTGTATTTTTGTTTTTTGTTTTAAATGGATTTTGATATAACTAAGCCCTATGAATATATATATATATAATATATCCTAATTGTACTAATATAAATTCATTCACTAAGCAAATATCTAAGAATGTCCATCTCTTGTGTTTACATATTAACATTAGATCGTTGATAAAGAATTTTACAAAATTATTGCAAATCATAGATTCAAGTACCCATCCTTTAGATGTGATTGCTGTTTCGGAGGTTGGAATTTCAGACAGTATAAGTAGTTTATTTCACATTCCCGATTATGCTATGTACTCTCAGTTAAGAAATAATAGAAAGGGGGGTGGCATTATCCTTTATGTTAAAAAATACCTTAAAGGACAATGGTCAAATTGGGCCTAATGACCAATACACATGAGATATTATTTTTGTGATAGGTCACAACACACAACTAACGAGAAAAATAATAAAAAAAATTAAATGTACCGGGTTCTTGTACAGTTACGTCGAAAAGTTTTATTTAATTATGTCAAATATTTTTCAATTATTAAATGGTTTTCAATAGGAGTGAAAGAATATTACTTTAAAATAATGACTAAAGTCACTAATTCTAACCACATAGAGCCACATGGGATCATAATAACACAATATACCTGTTACAAAAATAATAATAAGTGTATTTCGACTATTAGAGGACGTAATAAAAGTTCTATGTACCTATGCGAGAACGGGTACACACACCTAACATTTTGCAAGAATATGTAGAGCGAAAGCATCTTAACAGACAAAGGATTTCTTTCGTGAGAATAGAAGACAATCAAATAGAGGACTTTCCACATTTGACTGAGGAAGAAATAATCCTTTTCGCGCTGGGCACATATCAATTGAAACTGGCAAGGTCTTACTGCAGTGAACATTTACGCGATGGCGTTTACATAATTGAGGTTTATCGAGACGATCAATTAGAAGATTTGACAGATTTTAATATCTTTCAAACAAATGTTTTTTTGATTAGACTTCATATTCAATCACGACATGCGAGGGCGCGCGAGTATCGTTCCTACATATTAATTGACAGAGACCAAACTGGCATCAGCTCTATTTTACAATATTATTGTACTTGTCTGACCGGAAGTCGTACGCTGGGAAGCTGTGCGCACATTTTATCCGTAGTTTGGTATATGAGCTTAGCTAGATACGAAGGATTTAACCCTCCAGCCGCATTTTTAGATTCTACTATTCTGGATATAGACTAATGTAAAAAAAACTTGTTGTTTCATTTATTGTATTTATATTATTTATTTATTGTATATTATACGTAGTTGTCGATGGATGTCGTAAGAGGCGTTTTAAATTGCAAATATTGCAATCAACAGCATTTGGGAGTGGCTCCAGTGCTCTTTTAGGGTAATATTCCTTCATTCGTATTGAAAAACAATTGCAAAATATTTAACTTAAATAAATAAAACTTTTCGACGTGACTGTACAACAACCCGATACATTTTTTTTTTTTTACTATTTTTCTCGTCAGTTGTGTGTTATGACCTATCGCAAGAACAATATCTCATGTGTATTGGTCAGCAGGCCCAACTCCCATAGTGTTTTGCCCATTGTCCTTTACCCAAAAAAAAATTCAAACACATACTTTTGAAAGTCTTATTGGCACAATTAAAACTTCAACAAATATTACCGTCGACATTTGTATTATATATAGACCTCCCGCTACTAGCATTACTTTATTTATCTCAGAACTAAACCAACTCATTAAAAAAATGCTCGCCTCGTCTGGAAGTGCAGTCATACTTGGGGATATAAACATCGATTTAAAAAAAGGGAAATCGTATCGAGACAGTTATGTAAACATGCTATCCGGGCACGGTTCGTTTGTGGTATCACAGATTATACACGAATCGAGCAAAAGTTGAATCAAATTACAATGTCATGTATAGATCACATATTTGTTAAATGTCACCAGCAAATCCGTGCACGGCCGCGCTCGACACTGTACTGGCCGACCACCGAGCCATAGTAGTTGCACTATGTAATGTGTACTCGCAGCGATCCTCACTGATAAAAAACAACAATAACCAACCCGAGCCGGTCGCCCGTTCTCGCCGTGTTTACGATTCCGATATTATTTATAATGAATTGAATAGTGTGGACTGGTCGTGTACTCGCACTATGCAATGCCCCGAAAATATTTACAATTTTATAAAAAATAAATTTGCAGCAGCATATAAAAAGTCAGTTAAATGTGTAAGTAAAAATAATTGTGTGAAAACAAAAATGCCTTGGTTCAATAAAAACATAAATAACTTGAGTTTAAAAGAAGACATAGCTTATAGTCAGTGGAGAAGGGATCCGTATAATAATATATTAATTAAAAATTATAAGAAAATTCGTAATAAAGTAATAGAATATCACAGAAATAGTTATCTAAGGAAATTAATATATGAAAGCTATAGTAACCCTCGGAAACTATGGCAAATAACTAATACCACTTATGGAAAGTACAATCAATCAACAGATAGCGTGATATTATCTGGTTTTTCGGATTATAACCTATCCCCACAAACAATTGCAGATAATTTCGCCAAGGAGTTCAAAGAAGCAGTTAGTAAAATTATTTTGAATTGCAATGCGGATTTGTTAAATAGAAATTCGTATATAAAACCTGTCCAGGTTAGCTTACGTTTCCAGAAAGCTCAACCTAAACATATTTTTAGTATAATAAAAAAACTTCAAGTACATAAAGCACCAGGCTTAGACGAAATTAAAATAGTAGACATCAAAAGGATCGGTGATAAACTATGCTCTGCCATTGTCGATCTTATAAACGCTAGCCTGAGGGTTGGCACATACCCCAAAGAATTAAAAGTGGGTTGCGTCCGTCCAATTTTTAAAAGAAAAGGGTCTAAGGCAGATATGTCAAATTACCGACCTATAACGTTGCTACCTTCTATTGGTTTTAAGGTGCGTTAGAAACAGGGACAGCTTGCACAAAAACCTTAAAAATAGTCCACAAAACGAGGCATTGAGGGTTACTTACGTTCGATATCGTAACTACTGTAATACTTTATTAAAAAAAGTCAAAAGAGAATATGACAGAGATCGTATAGATAAAGCAGGCAAGAATTCTAAAATGTTGTGGAATGCGATTAAAGAAATAACAGATATGAACAAAACGAAATCTTCTGCAACTGACCTTTTAAGTATTAAACCCACCCCAAAAGAATCAGTGGATACAGTTAATTCTTTCTTCGTGAGCATTGGAAAGACGCTTGCTGAGAACCTTACTCCAACAGCGTCCACTTATTCCAAAGTACTTACACACAAATCCCCTAGACGAGATTCCCTTGTCTTATTGGAAACCAACGACGCTGAGGTGGAATCTATTATTGGTTCGCTAAAACGGGATTGTGCTGTGGGTTGGGATGACATACCCACTGCCTTATTAAAACACTACAAACTGATACTTGTACCCATAATCACCCACATATGTAACATCAGTATGAATGCTGGTGTTTTCCCGACTGCTTTCAAGAGGGCAATAGTGCATCCGATCTTCAAGTCTGGGGATCGGTCTTGCACAAATAACTACCGCCCAATCTCAATCCTACCATCACTCTCTAAGATACTTGAACGGATTATTAATTCGCGTCTCAAGAGTTTCCTAGAAACCACTTTGGCTCTTTCCTCCAGGCAGTATGGTTTCCGTTCCGGGAAATCCACAGCAGATGCTGTCCACGATTTTACAAACACTGTAATTGAAAGCCTTGACCGGGGACAGAAATGCTTAGCTATCCTACTCGATCTTGCTAAGGCATTCGATACGGTTTCCATTCCCCTCTTATTGAGAAAACTAGAATTCTTGGGAGTTAGAGGGAATCAACTGAAACTTTTCGAAAGCTACCTTACGGATCGAAGACAGATGGTGAAAATAGATGGTACAACTAGTTCCGACCTCCACATAGAATATGGTGTCCCTCAGGGTAGCATCCTAGGCCCCTCCCTGTTTTTAGTTTATATCGATGAGCTCTGTTCTCTCAACATCCCAAACTGTAAGATCGTCTCCTTTGCAGACGATACTGCCCTTATATTTTCAGCTGATAACTGGGAGGAAACCTATCAAGTAGCTCAAGTTGGATTCGATCTTGTTTCCTGCTGGCTACAATCAAACCGACTTACCCTTAGTGTCCAAAAAACTCAATATATGCCTTTTTCAATCAAAAAACCAACCATTAAACCCAGAAGCAACTTCTCAATTGTTGCTCATTCCTGTTCAAATCATGGAACTATGGATAAATTGGCCTGTAGATGTCCAAACCTAAATAAATCTGAGACAGTTAAATATCTGGGTGTACTTATCGATGACAGACTTTCATTCCAGGCTCATATTAATCTTACAGCGGATAGAATCTGGAAATTAATGTACGTATTTAAAAAACTTCGCGTTGTTGCTGACCCATGCATAATTAGGAGGGTGTATATTTCTATCTGCCAGTCTCTCCTGATATATTGTATCACCTCTTGGGGCGGTTCTGCGAAAACCAATATGATTAGACTGGAAAGAGCTCAAAGAGCCCTCCTTAAGGTATGCACATTCCTTCCCTACCGTTTTCCTACCCATGTTCTCTTTCAATATTGTGAGCTATTGTCAGTACGCCAGCTTTTTATCTTGTACACCATTCTTAAGCAGCATCGTGCTATTGATTATCTCTCCCCTACCACTCAGTCCCGTCGTAATCATCTAATTGTACGCTCGTTGTCATTTAAAACATATTATCCACGTCGATCTTTCTGTTTCTTAGGGCCTTTTCTGTATAATAGACTTCAAAAGAAACTCAATATTTTCGCTCTTGATAGATATCATTGTAAACTCTCAGTAACATCCTTCTTGCAAAAAATTAACTATGATGATACCGAAAAACTACTACTCCCGATCAGATAGTTATGTCTCAATCCTGTTAACAACAAACTTATTAAGTAATACTTAAATTATTCGGAGCGTTTCTGGAGGTTTGTAAATGTCTGGGTAGAAAACACAATATTGCACACACTATAAAATATCCTACGATAGTTGTTAGTTTTATTTTATCACTTCATCAAGTAAATACACCTGTCTGATTTTGAAGCTGTAAAGTAACAATCTGCGGGCAAGTGCATATAAGTTAATTGTATGATGGTATGTGACTTAGGTTTAAATCGTGTTTTTGCGTAGTGTTCTTTTCTAGTAGTGGTTTTGAAAATCCATTATACTAACTGTGACAACGTATAACTCTTTGCTTCTTCCATAAAAATGTGCTTTGTAATTAACTTAATACAAATTTGTATTGGCTCTAGTACCGATCATTGTAAATGAAGTCGTTATTTGGATATATGTGGTATATTATATATTCTCCTACAGGTATTTTTATATGTAGAAACTTACTTTGTTAAGATAAGATAAAACGGTCACCTTACGAAGGGCAGGGTACTGGTGCACTGAGATATAAGCTTTCGCTTAGTTCAGGTACCAGTCTCTCGCAATCTTATGAAATATCCAAATATTGTTTTTAATTATAAGATGTTACATGTAGATTGTTGGAGAAAAATAAATAAAGTTATTATTATTATTATTATTATTGGAAAAATAGCAGAGAAATATATATGTGAACAGATTCATAGATTCTATAAGCAGAACAATATTATTAACACAAATCAATACGGATTTCAGCCCAAAAAAAGCACTACGGATTTACTTCGTAGGTTTACGGATAAAATTAATAAATATTTGGACGAAATGCATGTTTTAGTCATTTTTGTACATTTTTCTCGCGCTTTCGACACGCTTAACCATCTAAAGCTTATTACAAAGTTAGAAAGTACCGGAATCAGGGGTGCGTTGCTAGATTGGTGCAGAGACTATCTTAAAGACCTATAACGTTAGAGTATGTGAACATCTAAGCGAGTCCGTACCTGTTGAGACAGGTACGGCTCAAGGGTCGGTGATAGGTCCACTCCACTTCCTGGCGTATGTGAACGACATGTGTAACATCTTTGAACACTGTACTCATTACCAATATGCAGATGACACCTGCATTATATCTGCTGCAAAAGACCCCTATAAAGCACTAATGAATTTACAGACAGACATTGACAATTTAAATTAGTGGTGTCATGACTCGGGGCTTGTGCTAAACGCAACAAAAACTAAACTAATTCACATATCATATGAGAGAAGAAAGCATAACTAAAAATCTTGTTGCTCATAATCACAAATGTCTGCACAATTTGAAAATTTCAGTATGTAATTGCCCAACAATTGAATTCGTAGACTCTTACGTGTACCTTGGTTTGGTTATAGACAATACATTCAACTGGGGCCCTCAAGTTGAACGTGTCTGTGACAGATTAAGAGCATTTCTTTCAAAATTAAGCATTATTAAAAAAAGGATGACATATAAAACTCGACTAACATTAAATAACGCATTTGCACATTCTATTATTAGTCCAGTCAATGAAAGCTTAACTTTGCCATTTTGAGTTGATCACCTGCAACCAACGCGAAAATTTCCGTAAGGGTTCGTAGATTAATATACTAAAATTGCAGGGTGCTGCAATGACGGCAACGGGTGCAAAAAAAAATTGAAATGGTGCAAAAACAAGTTTTTCGTCAATATCTCGCGACTGGCTGGGAAAATAGAAAAAGTTCCTAGGACAAACTTGTAGAAAATTTAATTTCCTACAAAAAAGGTATGAACATATTTTCGCGTATCTCCCATAGTTTTTGCAAAAAATGCAATTAAAGGTGCAAAATAAAAAAA